TGTCTCAACGAGGTCGCCCATGCATGAACTGCTATCTCGACAGTGAGAATTGTGTAGTTACTGGGCGCGCGTCACGGTTGTAAGTAGCTGTGTTCTTGTCCCTCACTGTTGGTAATACTAACCCAGCGAACAGTCGAAGAGCGCAACAAAGAGATGGCGTCGACAATGCGGAAGGCGCATATCCGCAGTACGATGCAGAGGCCGGCGAGCAACTTCTTGTCGTAGATCCCATCACAGCAACGAGTGACGACTCTCGGCCGGTTCCCTCAAACGAATCAGACGCCCAACCCCAAACCTGCAACCATTCACACGGCGACGACATGACAATACCAACAGTCACCGAAAGACCAAAGAGCCCGGTGGTTAATGATAGCCATGCCCAGAATGAGCAACCAAAGCCAAGCCGTCACCACGCCAGGCCTTCAGTAGCATCAACGAGCACGTACGAAGCTTTCCCTTCCAATTCTCTGCCCTTGAACAATCAGCCATTTACGACGCCATATACCGCTGGCCAACAGAACACAATGGGGATAGACGTAACATACTCCTTTTACCCATTCTTGACATTGGGCAATCTTCACGGAATACCACCACAGGATGTGAACTATTTGGAGCTCCAGGGATGTCTTAGGGTGCCAACACGCGCCATACTCGACGAGTTTGTTCAGCAATACTTCCTGCATGTTCACCCGTTGCTGCCAATGATCCATGAGGGCGACTTTTGGGACCTCTACTGCGTGAATCCTACCAGTTACGTACCTGGCGAAAAGCTCTCGCTGCTGGTCTTCCAGGCAATGCTGTTCGCTTGTTGCAACGTACGTTATCCCCATCCAATCTCACGGCTTTTCAGGGCGCAATTCTAATATCAACTAGTTCGTCTCCCGCCAGACCATTAAGACCCTTGGCTTTCCGACCGTTCGAGCCTGTCGCGCCGCTTTTTATAGACGTGCCAAGCTTCTTTACGACCTTGAATCCGAATCGTCACCCCTCGCAATTTCACAGGCTTCCCTCCTCCTCTCCTTCTGGTCTTCGCCTACCTCCCCGGCATTCCGCAAATCAAATACAGCCTGGCTCTCCATCGCAATTCAAAATGCGAAAATGGTCGAAGCCCATCACTACGCCACGCGCACAGCATCTCCCAAGAAGCGCAACCTCCTCAAGCGTCTCTGGTGGTGCTGTATCATTCGCGATCGAATTGTCGGCCTGGGTCTCCGCCGCAGTCTGCAGATCACGCGGAGTCATTTCACTTTTGATGCGAATGAAAGTCTTGGGTATTCAGACTTGGCTGATGAGATTGAGAGGAGCAGGGTGTATAACCCAGGCACAAAACGGTGCTTGGCTGAGATCTTGGAGCAACTGGTGGAGCTGTGCGTTGTGCTGACCGATATCCTGATCCTGGTTTTCCCGCTAGACGATAGGCCGGGTTGGGGCAGAGAGATGCGAGCCGAAGAACAGGACAAGGTGCGAGTATGTAAAGTTGCGCTACAGAGATGGTACAAGGGTGTGACGATGCGGTTTCCCGTCTTTGGTGGCGGTTCCGTCGCGAGGATGAAGGCACCAGGGAACGAGTTCCAACACGACTCAGTGATATTGTACACCAATTTGATGTACATGTACTATCAGTAAGTTCTTATGTGGATTCAACCTACTGACAATTACTAACATGCGCTCAGTTCCTCTCGAGTGGTTCTCAGTCACCACGAAGTCCTGCACCTCGCCATCACCGCCGCAGCGCCATCTTTCAACGCCATCCCGACATCCGATCTCATCATCATCGGAGAGAACCGACACGAGCTTCAGGATGCCGCTTCCGGGGTAACAGAGTGTCTCAAGGAACTCATCCACCTTCGACTCGCACGCTGGCTGCCCATCAGTGCCGTAGCCTGTACCGCTCTGCCGCTGGTCCTGCACATCCTTGACGTGAAGCTATCGGCATCCTCACGATCCTTCGACCCCAACACGCAATCGGCGCTCAAGCAACATCGCCTCAACATTCTCATAGAAGCTATGAAAACCTATCAACCACAATACGACGGCGTCGACTGGGTCAGCGAGACGATTCGACACATTGTTAATCTAGCGCAAATTGAATCGCCAGCACCAGGGGATTCCGCAAACGCAACCCCCGGCGGCGCAGTCATCGCAGACTGGACCGACATCCTCGCCTCCCAGCCGAGCTCCTATCTCCGCCTAGCCCTGACGATGGACCTTTCCCTCAGCAAAGGACGGCTGCCCGAAGACGGAGACTTCCCAGTTAGCCTCCGAGGTCTCTTCACGGGCGGCTTCAATCCGCTCAAGGCGCTCCTCGAACGTAAGAGGAACGAAAGTAGGGACGCCAGCAGGGATACGAGCGGAGGGTTCTCCGAGCCTGCAGAGCACGCCACAGATCGCATGACGGACTTTGACGCCGCAGCAATGAGAGTAAACCTGTTCCGAATGCAGCCGCCGGGCACCGTGACAGCCATCCCGTCAGACGAGGACTCCACCTCGCCGACATCAGCGGGCAGCCACAGTCAGGACAGTGTCACGGACGACACATCACCGCGCACCGGGGCGGAATACCAAAGCAGCTGCGACGTCAACATGGCTGATCGTCCGCCGTCGGAGGGCATCGACGGTCTGGCTGCCGAGGTTCTTGCCGCGTTTCCGCTAGATGATCAGTCTGCGAACGTAGCTGCGGGCGACTTTGATGGCATGTACTTTGACGGGATGCCGGGGCATGACGGGCCCGGCGGGTGGATCGAGACGGCGTGGAATGAGCTTACGCAGCATTCCGCTGCACCTGGGTCTGGCGAGGATCGCGGGGACAGGGATACGGCAAGAGTGCTGCTTGATGCGTTGAGGGAAGGGGAGCTGGCGGAGTGTGCCGCTTGACATGTGTATGAATGTAAGGGTAAAATGATGACTTGACGACTTTATGTACACAGGGAGTGGTATACTCACTCTCGGCCTCCTGCGTAGATAGTAAGTGGGCTATCGGTATAATACTTGAGATTTGTTTTCTGGTAACTCGGCTCTCTTGACGGTTCAGATTCAATAATGGCTTCAGCTTCTGTGACCCCCGTTCCTGCGATATAGTTTCCAGCTGTTTGAGACGACCGCTCCCCGTCGTCGTCGTCGTCTATCCAGCCTGACACCATGATCATTCTTCAAACGCTCGGGATTGTCCAGGGGCCAAAATCGGAAGTCGAAGTCCGAGAACGCAACGTGGATTGCTCTCCCCCGCACGATGCATCTTTTTACACTTGGGGTACATGAACCCCTAGAATTCTCCAAGTCCGCTGCATTCACCCTGGCGTGTCGTCTGCCCCCCGGCCAAGGATTTCTGTTTAAGGTTGAGCGGGGGTGGTACTGTCGATCTTCGGTCGTCAGCAGAGAACCACGGCGAAGTGGATGTGCCGGGAACATAAGGCTCCGTGTCTCGGTATGCCGGTGTTGACCGTCACTACCGTGTGAATTCAAATGATGAAGCCGGTGTTCAATCTAGCATGAACTTATTGACTTCTACTGCGGCCAAGAACAAATCTGTTTGACAAAAAGGGCTTGGGGGTTGGGGGGTTTGTGTTGTGGCTATATGAAGAGCGCCGGAGGTGCATTGCGTCTATCGTCAACAACCCGAATAGGTGGATTTCATAGAATGGAATCAAACAAGATACCCATGAGTAGGTGTCAAACACCTCTGGAAGGGAAGGTGCTCGTTGCTACACCATGTCCTGCCCATGCAGTGACGACCCAGCACCTGTCTCAACATTTGGCAGGTATCATGTATCATCCGCTGCCAACAACGCGTCTACTTCACGCCTAAAAGACAACCGATTTCTCACATAGCATCCTACAAATCCTACACCATTAAACCATCCGTCAGCCATGTCCTCCATAGGGACCCCATCCCCAGCAAGCACCAATAGCAAATCAACCAGCCTCCGCACCCTCTGGTCCGGCACCCAATCCACCCTCAAACGCATCTTGTCTTCCCACCTCAGCCCCGGCCTCAGCAACCGCACACCTCCCTCGCTTCTCTCCAGAACAGCCTCTCGATCCGAACGCGGCAGCGTCGTCCGCTACATCATCACTTTACCCCCCAAGCCCTCGCGCCCGACGAGTAAGACCGCAGGATGTCTCTCCCTGCGCTTGTGCCTGCGATGCCGGTGTTGCTGCTTGAACGGGGAGAGCATTATCGCGATTGCGTGTCCGCCTGTGGCTGTGTACCGCGGGGCGGCGGGACGGAAGGTCGAGAAGAGGGTTGCGGTTGCGGTTGTGTTGACTATCGTCGGATGGGTTCCTAGAGTGATATGTGAGGAAAATACGAATGGACGCAGGAGGCCCGAGTAGGGAGGCTAGATTTTGCTGACCAAGTGGGTGTAGATGCCCTTTTGAGCGCTCCTGAGAAGCCAACGTCGCCATATTACTGGCATACGAGCGAGAGGTCCAGCTCGGCTGTGGTGAAGCGTCCGAGGAGACGAAGATCGACGATGCCGTCCGAAAAGCAAGTCAAACGGGTCGTCTGAGACGCGAAATAGGATTGTCAGTACAGGAGAGCCAGATTTTAGCACCATCCTTATTCCTCCAAATCACACGCGCAAGCAGGGGACTATTCAGAAGCAAAGGAACAGCATATGGGAGAGAAGACGAGGCTTGTATTGTTTCAAAGTCTAGTTCTATCATGAATCGCGTTACCCCTATACACCCTGTCTTTATCTTTTACAAGGTCCTACAGAAGGGCTGGATTTTTTCCTTTCACGTCCAGGCTTTTCTACAAGAAGATTCCTGACGTAACATTAGATATACATTTTTACATACGCCCGCCCAAATAGGCGACGTACGAGCCCCCCATCCGTCCCGGTTCGTGCGATTTCGCTCAAGGATTCGCGGACGGCGAGAAGGGGGGCTTCGATATTGATACATGGGTGGCACTTGTGTGCCATGGTTCTGTCACCATGTTTCCGGATGCAAATATTCTCTCCCAAAAAGAAAGCGGGGGAAAGTTCTTGATCAGTGGCTTATTTGGTGCGCTTGGCCTCCAACTCCTTCTGGTAGTTGGCGCAGAGCTCCTTTCTGCAGAGGTTGTTAGTAATCATTAACCGGAGTGATGTCAAGAGGGGTCAACGTACTGAAGGTGAGGAGGTGCCGCGGCGTAGTGGCTAAACTCCATACCGAACTCGCCCTTGCCCTGGGTGGCAGCGCGGAGCTGAGAACTGAAGCCGAACATGGCGTTGAGACTGCAGTCGGCGATGAGGGTAAAATCCTCGGTGCCGACCTCAGTGTCGTGGATGGTAGCATTGCGCTTGTTCATAAGCATGATGATGTTACCCTGGAACTCGTTGGGCGCGGTGATGGTGGTCTTCATGAGGGGCTCGAGGACCTGGCCGCCGGCGTCGTCAAAGGCCTTGCGGAAGGCCATTTGCGTGGCGAGGTTGAAGGCGAAATCGGACGAATCCGTGACGTGGGTGGAGCCGTCGTTGACAATCATCTTTGTGCCGATAACCTTGTGGCCGAGGAGAGGACCCTTGAGGGCGGCCTCTTCGAAGCCCTTGGAGCAGGCGGTGAGGTACTTGTCCGGGATGGTGCCGCCGACGACCTGGGTCTCGAAGAAGTTGGCCTCCGGGTCGTCGTGGGGCTCGATCCAGCCGGCAACGCGGGCGTAGTCTCCGGGACCGCCGGATTGTCTGCGGAGGAGGAAGTCGTACTCTGTCTTGCGGGAGACGGTCTCGCGGTAGGCGACGCGGGGCTTTCCGGTTTCGCAGTCGACCTTGTACTCGCGGCGGAGGCGCTCGACGTAGATTTCGAGGTGGAGCTCGCCCATGCCGGAGATGATGGTCTCCTCGGACTCCTCGTCGACGTGCAGACGGAAGGTGGGGTCCTCACGCTGGAAGCGGTTCATGGCCTTGGAGAAGTTGTCGGCGTCGCTGGTGCGCTTGGGCTTGATGGAGAGGGACATGACGGCGTCGGGGACGAACATGGAGGACATGGTGTAGGGGAGGCCACCGTCGGTAAAGGTGTCGCCCGAGGCGCAGTCGACGCCGAAGACGGCGCAGATCTCGCCGGCGCCGACCTCGTTGACGTCCTCCATCTCGTTGGAGTGCATGCGGACGATGCGGGGGATGCGGACCTTCTTGTCGGTGCGGGAGTTGAAGAGGTAGGTGCCCTTGCGGAGCTTGCCCTGGTAGACGCGGATGTAGGTGAGCTGACCGTAGTTGTTCTCCTCGAGCTTGAAGGCGAGGCCGACAAAGGGGAGCGAGTTGTAGGGGACGAGCTTGACGGTGGCCTCGTCGCGCTTCTTGTCGAGGGCCTTGTTCTCGACCTCGGACGGGTTGGGCAGGTAGTCGCAGACGGCGTCCAGGACGGTCTGGATGCCCTTGTCGGCGAGGGCGGAACCCATCATGACGGGGGAGAACTTGAGGGCGATGGTGGAGCGGCGAATGGCGGCCTTGATCTGGGCGTTGGTGGGCGTTTGTTCCTCGAGGTAGAGCTCCGTCATTTCGTCGTCGACGTCGGCCAGCTTCTCAATGAGCTCCTGGCGCTTCTCCTCGACGAGGTCCTTGTAGCCTCCGGGGAGGACGTCAGTGGTGCGGACGACGGTGCCACGGGGGCCCTCAAAGTAGTGTGCCTTGCGCTCAATCAGGTCGATAACGCCCTCGAACTCGTTCTCGGCGCCAATGGGGATCTGGATGGCGGCCGCGGGAATCTTGAGCTTGGTGTTGATCTGCTCGACGGCCTTCCAGGGGTTGGCACCCATGCGGTCCATCTTGTTCACGAAACTGATGCGGGGGACGTTGTAGCGCTTCATCTGACGGTCGACGGTGATGGTCTGGGACTGGACGCCGCTGACGGCGCAGAGAATCATGACGGCACCGTCGAGGACGCGGAGCGCTCGCTCGACTTCGATGGTGAAGTCAATATGGCCGGGTGTATCGATGATGTTGATGTGGTAGGTTTCCTCTTTTCCTTCTTCCGTCTTCTTCCAGTCGGCGAAGGTAGCAGCCGACTGGATGGTGATGCCCTTTTCTCTCTCGAGATCCATAGAGTCCATCTTGGCGCCTACAGAGTCCTTGCCGCGGACCTCGTGGATGGCCTTGATGCGGCCCGAGTAGAAGAGCACGCGCTCGGTGACGGTCGTCTTTCCGCTGTCAATGTGGGCGGCGATACCAATGTTGCGCACGCGCGACAGGCGCTTGGCCTCCTCGGGGCTCATCTTGGCGGCGACCAGCTCGGGGGTGAGGGTGGAGGCGTTGTCCTGGGCCATCTTGAGGGCCTCGGCGGCGGCGTCCCTGACCATCGGGGTCGTCGAGAAGGCGCGTACGGAGTTCTTCTTCCATGCCGTCGTCGTTGTTGTCGAGGACTGCTTCTTTACGCAGGCGGCGAAGCTGCTAAAGTGTCGTGCATCAGCTTGAGGCTTCACGCCTGCAAGCAGACCGCCATTCGGCACTCTGACGGCTCGTGGAGCCCTCATCGTGACCAATGTGTGTGCGGACGAAGAGAAGGGGAAGGGGAGGATGGGAATATGCAATGGGGAAAGATATTACAGGAAAAGGGAGCCGGGATCCATTCGGGACAAATGGTCTGATACGGGGCTCATCTTTTTTTTTTTTTTTTTTTTTTTTGGCCTTGCTGTCTTCCAATTGCCCAGGCGAAACTTTTTCTTCTTGGGGACGGGAGTGACAGGGGTTCCGATTTCGCGCCGTCGCGGAGGCACGTGTTTTCGTGGAGGAGTGGGTCCTCTGCCCGGCAGTGGACGAATCGCGGCATCGGGATTACTTACGCCGGCCGGTTCAACGGGTAATCGCCGGAAGTGGAGGCCGGAGCATGTCCGTGTGCTTTACCTAATACTTGTATCTTTATACTAAATCACCATATAGGTAAGTATGTGTGTATTGGCATAATTGTGATGCTCTAGAGTGAGTTGTGGTGCTGACATGGCTCCTGGAAAGTACACATCATCATATGATGCAGACCTGGCCGTCAGAGCTTCGAGCATAGGCAAACCTGCGGCACAGCATTTGGGTTCAACTGGAAGCATCAGACGAGATAGACTCATGAGCGTATGCCGCTCAAAGAGGGGCTTGAAGCTTCATTTTTTGTTGACATTCCTCCAAATTAATAAACGCTATCTTGCGCCTTTGAATGAGATACCCATCTTTTGCAAAAACGCCAATACCTTTCCCAAATTGCCCATCCCTCTATCCAACCAAACGCCCTTGAGTTACACACAAGCCTCAAATCCAGTGGTCATCCAAAGCTCGGTTCTTGTCGAGGTAGTCGTACACCTGCTTGTAGTCCTTACAGACGTGCTTCGCATCCCATCCATCGCTACCGGTGAACCCAGGCGGGAACGTCGTCTGCGTGCCCTCCAGCGCGACATCGCCAGCGCACATGATGGCCTATTTCAACCAAGATTAGTTCCCCATCCACCAGACACTTCTCGAAGAGAAACACAAAACAACAGAACATGACTACTCACCTGCCGCAGATACTCAAAGCAATGCTGCAAATGCCACGGCCCCTCCGCGCCCTCCGTGCCCTCGGGGATATGCGAGTGCATATCGACGTTGGCGCTACCGTTGACGGCCATGCCCGCGTAGCTCTCGAGGATGGCGTACAGGCAGTGGAGCTGGTGCGTCATTGAGGTCGTGAAGACGGTGCGCGGAGCGAACTCGGGTAACGGGACGGGGAGGTTGTCGTGGGCCTTCGGGTCCTTGACTTCGAGGTAGCCCAGGCCCTTGGGCACGATGGAGAGCCACTGCTCCTGGAGAGTTGCGTTTGTGAAGAGGGCTTTTGGGTCGTCGGGGACGAAATCTGTTGTTGGGTGGAAGGTTGTTATTTGCTGGGAGACTGTTGCACATTGTTAGTTTTGGTCTATTTTGTGGGTAGCATTGAGTAAGTAATGGAAGATGTATTGGCGTACATTTAGGTGCGAATCCTGTGAGGTCGCCGACTGGCTCGAGACGCTTGTCTGGTGTGCTGATTGTTGAAATGCCCCTTCTCTCAAGGAGCAGGCCGACGATGACGACCAGAAGAACGGTATCGAGCAGCCAGCGCCATCGTCGGAAGAGGTTCCGGGCCTTCGCGCATCGACTCGCTCGTGATGATGGTGAGCATCTGCCGTCTTCAATGTCTGCCCGCTTCCATGGCTTGCCCTCGTCGCTGAGGAGCGACACGCTGACGTCGGTCATGGCATCGTCGGTGATGTCTGCCTCTCGACGGGCGTCGGAGTAGGGTGTATTGCTGGGTTTCATAGCGCCAGGTCTAGTTCTCGGGGAATTGGTGACAAGGAAGGGAATTGTACGATATTCAAACGAGTAGATGGCAGGTAAATATGATATTCCCGATGGCTCGGGGTTTGCAATGTCAAGGACTATGTACAGCATCTGACCAGCAGAATGTCACGTCTCCGAGTGCCTCAGCCTACGTTGCTAACTATGGGAAGGGGGCGACTGTGCGACCTCACCCGCCGCCCTTGCATTCTGTGTTTTGAAACACCACACATCTGGGAGCCCTGGGCTGATGTTGAGGAGGGCGGCGGCGCATGCCTCATTGAGTGGTTGCGCGGCGCGTTGGATGATTTGAAAGGAGCTCCGACACTTTGTGTATGAGGTGAGCGGAGCGCGGGAGGATGTTTAGGACCGTGCAGGGCTGCAGGCTGCGTCAATCATCAGTCGGGGTGGTCAGGTTCGGGGTCGGGGGATTTCCCAAGGGACGGGGGATTGTTTATGGGTGGTTGTTTGTATGGCGCATGCGTCATCTTTGATTGTTTTGTCACTTCGAAACCTTGAAGCCGTATTGAAAGCGAGGTTTCGGTGTGCAAGTGGGATGTCGTCAAGGTTTTGACGAATTGACCACTCTTGACCCCTTTTGGTGAGAGTTTCTGTCAACACCAGCAAACATTTCAATCAGCCAAAGTCAGGCTTACATCGCACGACTAATTATTTCCACCATTCCTGGGCGCAGATATCTAGAGTATTGGTTGCCGAAAGAACACGCACAGCAGAATTTGAAGGGACCTTGAAGTTTTGGTGGCTAAATCTCACTTGCAATGTACTTTGAGAATGCATTCAGAGACCCATCCATGGAGGTTTCTCTCGAACTGGCGGCAATTGGCAAAGTTCATCGACACCATTCAAAAGGGGGGAGGGCAAGGTAACAAAACGAAAGACGGGCAAAAGACGCATCATTAATTACATCGAGTAAAAACGGCAAAATGATAACTGTGAGATTCGAACTCACGCCTCTTGCGAGACCAGAATGCTCATCCGTTGGACGGATGAAGCTTTTGAAGCTTGAGTCTGGCGCCTTAGACCGCTCGGCCAAGTTACCTGTTGATGGTTCTGCCGACCAAAATGTTCAATAAGGAGCTAGCAGTGTAACTGAGGCTGCCCGTGCTTTCTATGTGTGGCGCAAAACCTAAGCCGCTGATAAGCCGCTCGCAGAAATAAGCTCTTGTTTGACTTTCGGGATCGACAAACTCTCGTCCCATCAATACTATTCCCGACGTTATTCACATCATCATCCCATCACAAGAAGCGACCTTCATTGAGTATCTGAATATGTAAACCTTTCCTCACCAATCCCAACATCTGATGCTGAACGCCCTTATCTCGGATATAAATTCGATCCTGGATTGAAGATATCGGAGTGGATCACCGGCCTCGGCGATCGCGCAAGCGCCGAGATGGATCAAGGGAAAGAAAAAAAGTCTGAACCCTGACTCTCGAATCTGACAGGAATCGGGCCGCTATCGTCGTCGACCAAAATCATTCCACTTTCCTCTTGGTATCGACGTATCGTGGACTCGTGGAGCACAGAGCCCCCCGGTGGGATTCAGAACAGCGGAGACGGCTCCAGAGCGGGAGTTGATGTCGGCAATCTCAGTCTTTCTGTCTTGTTGTGGTTTGCATCTGTTGATGCTTTTCTTCTCTTTCCAATAGTCTTTCTGAGTTCATATTCAGCAGGTCTGGACGAACATGTTGCTTCTCATATCGGTGACAACAGCATCATTCACCAAATACAACCGTCCAGCGACGAGTCTATACCATCTCAGAACATCAGCACCATGCACAACTACCGCATCCTTGGACTCCAATGACCTTACCGGCGTCAACATGAACAGCAAAGCAACGCTTGATGAGCTGTCCCGTCACAAGCGCCCTGTCGCCAACTAGCAGTCTAGTGTTGGCCGGGCTCATCCGTTCGGCACCACGCGCCGATTCCACCTACCACCACTTCCCGCCTGCCTGCCGCCCTATCGGGACCCCAGTGGCGGCGGAGCCCTTTGATAATCCTTTTTTCTCTGCATGGAAGTCTTCTCCTTTTTTCCTGTCGGCACCCTTCCACTCTGGACCCAACACCAAGGATGGTGTACGAAAGAGTGGACCTCGGTGGTGCAATGAGCGGTCTCCATTTTCAGCCTCTTTCGAGCCAAGTTTATATCCGGTCAAGGGGTCTTGTCTGGTCTGACTATGGTCTAGTTCCGCTTGTGACTGTCCGCCACGCAGCTCTCTCGCATTCACTCTTTTACTCCTTTTTGCCGTCACTGCTACCCGATGGGATTCTTAATCCATACCGCATGGTTTCTTCCTTCTTCTTGGTACTGCTTGTTCTATATTTGAGTTTCTCGGCTTGGAACGACCATAAGGCCATCTTCGGCGATTTCCCACCATCCATGATCGCTTGATGCAAGGGCTTACACTCATACTTAATGTCTAATCTATCCCGAAAGACGCTCTCCTTCGCACTCGTGTCGTAATAGCGCGCCGCAACTTATAGACCAAAGATCGCCACCCAACGTTGCAACAACAAGTCGGTCCGCCAAGAAGTACTTGAGCAACCTCTCTCATCAAACCAAGGATATCAAGCAAGATACACCTACTCGTCTGAACAGCAACAAACAAAACAGACACAATACAGATAACGCCCACAATGACCGTCGGAGACACAAACACCACAACCGAAAAGTCCGGCTCCGGCCCGGACCTTCGCTCAACAACCCCCTCCGAAACAACCCTCACACCCGCAGCCCCCGCCGACCCGGAACCCCAGGCAACCCTCGCGGCCGGCGCCGAACCCCTAACAACATCCACCCCGGGCCCCGTCCCAGACGGCGGCCTCGAAGCCTGGATCCAAGTCCTCGGCTCCTGGGTCATCCTCGCCGACACCTGGGGCCTCGTCAACACGTTCGGCGTCTACCAGACCTACTACGAACGCACCCTCCCCGGCGTCACCCCCTCCGCCATCTCCTGGATCGGGTCCCTCCAGGGCGCCTTGCTAATGATGGTCGGCCCCATCTCGGGTCCCTTGTACGACGCAGGCTACTTCCGCGAGCTCCTCTGGGCGGGCATCACCCTCATCATCCTCGGCATGTTCATGACCTCCCTCTGCACAACCTACTGGCAGGTCCTCCTCGCACAGGGCGTCTGCGTAGGTCTAGGCTGCGGACTCGTCTTCCTCCCCTCCACCGCGATCCTGAGCCAATACTTCCACCGCCGCCGCGCCCTCGTCATCGGCCTCGCGGCGACGGGCTCCCCGATCGCGGGAATGTGCTTCCCCATCCTCTTCGGCCACCTCGAGCCCCGCATCGGCTTCGGCTGGGCCACGCGCATCATGGCCTTTATCCTCCTGGGATTGTCCGTCATCCCCGCCGTGAGCATGCACACCCGCCTCCCGCCATCGGGCCACAAGCGCTCCCTCGTCGACCGCACCGCGCTCCGTGACCCGGCCTTCATGCTCGTCATGGCGGGTTCGTTTGTCGGGTTCCTGGCCATGTACGTGCCGTACTTCTACATCCAGCTCTTCGCCGTCAGCCACGATATTGGTCCCGCGAACTTTTCGTCATACTTTGTCACGCTGCTGAGCGCGGGGAGCATCCCGGGCCGCGTGATCCCGAATTACCTCGCGGACAAGGTCGGCGCGTTGTACATGCAAATCTCCGTCGCGGCAGGCTCAGCCGTGCTCATGTTTGCGTGGCTCGGCATCCGCAACATGGCGGGTCTCGTCGTGTTTGCGATCCTGTATGGGTTGTTCTCCGGAGGCATGGTGAGCATTTCGCCGACGGTGATTGTGAGCTTGTCGCCTGACCTCGGGCGCGTCGGCACGCGCATGGGCATGATTAACTTTGTGGCGGGTATCGCCATCTTGATCGGTACACCGATTGCCGGTGCCATCTTGGGTGACTATAGCGGTGTTGCGTGGCAGTCCATGATCGGGTATGGAGCGGCGGCGTTGACGGTCGGGTCGATGGTGCTTACCGCGGCAAAGATCTTTCAGTTGAAGGGGGAGAGGAGGGATCTGAAGGCTTGAGAGTCGTTGATGATGGTTGACGAGGTACAGATGGATAGATTTCTTGTAGTTGGACTATATACCCCTTTGCGAATAGATGAGATTTGTTTAATTCTGGTCGTTAACTTCTTGATACTCACTTTGTGCACCACCACCCACAACCTACAGCCGCAACGCTCCCTAACACCACAACCCATCTCACCAACCCTTTGATAATCTGCTCCTTCGCAAACTTATCAATCGCATCTCCATCGTTCACCCTAGGAAACGGCACACCAGGGACCGGCCTCCCCAAAGCCTCACACAACGGCCCCCACCCGTCCTTAACATCATAAAACACCAACCTCTCCTCGTCCACAACCCTCCTGACCCAAGCCTGATGCAAATCCCACACCCGTCGCGTAGGCAGCACCCCATCGGCTTCTTGTTCCGGGGGAAATAACTCCCCCCACCGACCGTTGGGAATAGCATCAATATACTGCGGAAACCACCTCATCGTAGGCAGCCAAAACAGCGCAAACGACAGAAAAGCCTGCAGGCTCCGCTCTCCCGTCTGTCGAATACTCCGCACCCACGCCTCCGGATCGCGAACGGTGCAGATGACCAGGGCGTCGGGGTGCAGCGCGGCGAGTTCCTCGGTGAAGAGCATTCCGGGGACGTCGACGACTGCCGCGTAGCCGTCGTGGAAGTGTGTGGTCAGGGTGTCGAGGACGACCTTCTCGTCGGCGGCGGTACGGATGGGCGTGTGGGATAGGCAGGTTATCCAGGAGCGGATCTCGGATTCCGGGCCGTGGGTGAGTTGGGTGCCGCCGTGGTGGACGGGGGCACCGGCCCCGTCGTCTTCGGAGAGGAGGATTTCGAGGGCTTTGGCAAGGGAGGCGGTCCCGGTGCGGGGAAGGCCCGCGCCGATGACTTGGAGGCGGGTGCCGGGTTTTGGTTTGGAGGCTTCCTGGCCCATGGTTGGGGGTCTGGTGATTCACCTGATGTTTCTGGAGATCTGGTGTTGGTGTAGTCTCCTGGTAATAGGCTACTTACTTCATGATCAGAAAGTGAAAAGGAGAAAAGGAGAAACAAGAGAAAGAAAGTCATCAGATTCCCTTCAACGCATTATGTGAGGGGGGAATAATCAGCTGGACTGACTACATGCAGATTTCTGTGCTGATGTCAGACCTATCGTTGACAAGCTGGTTGCCTAAAGAGGAAATATCAAGTATCGACCTAGTCGTCAGCTTCGTTGGCAGCCCATCGCCAAGCACTAGTTTGGTGTAGAAAGCAATTGATGGCGTTTCTTGGTAGACGACTTGGCGCGGCACGAGCCAAAGAGCTGCGGGCAGGCTGTTGAGGATTTAAGAGGCCTGCAAGTCTGCTGGTTGCTTCATCACATCATGTTGGCCATTGTTGTCCATGCCTAGGACGCCTGAGGAATCTGCAATTGTCAGAAGATAATGTTGACTTTCTTTGTGGGTGTCGAGGGAAAAGAGATGAGAGAGACATTAAGACGTGGTACTGTATCGGGAGAAAAGGCTGGTCGATGTCTCTCCTTCAATTAACCTCCGTCTTCAACGAATGTATCGTATCGCTCCAATGGCTGCTTCACTGAAAACTAGTCTTGCGATGAGACAAATGATTTTGAACGCTGCTGTTCTTCAGAAGGGTCCTTCTCAGCCGAGGATGAGGCATGGAAATATAAGGTAGAGTGAACCCTTGTTGCGAGATAAGCAAGTAAAGATGGAGAGTAGAGAAGTCCAGCAACAATGGAAGATATCTTATCCCCCGTAACGTCATGAATCAACCTCGTTCTCGCACCGCTGGGGCTGATGCTCCAACCTCAAGTCATGTTCCGAGAACGAGAACGACAAGCAGATCCCGATTGCCTGGTATTATCACCAAGATACGCGGATGACAAACTGCTCAACGCCAAGTCCAAACCTCCCATCGATATTCAAACGGTGTCACCTTGCTCTCCTTTGAAGAAAATGATTCATGATAGAGCTCCAGCGTCGGAAGTTCGTCCTGCAAGAGGATGGAGCCCCTTTGCCAGCGGGGACGAAGAACCGTGGTAGGGCGTTGGGAAGATGCAGCTGCCAGCGAGTTGTATGCAAGCAGGGGAGAGCTCCGCCCTATCAATTCAGCGGAGACGGTCCTGGTGCCCCGTATATTGATGTGTGGTGCTGATTCAGCCTTGGATGATGGCTTGGGCGGCAGCTTAGCAACGCTTACTTTGGCGTTGTGTGGCTTCTTATTCCCGCGCGCCAAAAGATTCGCAGTGTGAATAGGGGACAGCTGCCAGCTGTTGGCTGTGACTAAAGTTGGAATGTACAGGTATTGTTGTTGTACTTTTGGCCCGTGCTTTCTGCAGCTCCGATCATCGATCCTCAATCTGTCGGCTCCGTCACCCGTGGCCGTAGCCGTGGCCGTACCTGTCAGCTTCGTGGGGGGACGGCGGTGGCTCATTTGTCAGGTACTACTAATCTCATCCAGTGAGGTATCCGTACCTTGGCTAGACCAGTACGTACATCTCTGTACTATGCATCGGCTGATGAGGTTGAGATGAGCCTAGTCTCCCTTCACCGTCTCTCTATCTACTGGGTCAGGACATGTACATTGCACCGTGTTGTCGCCCGTGTTGCTTGATAGAGCAATTCAACGAGATTACAAACTTGGCGAGCCGCTCGAGTGATTTCCACTTGATCGAGGGTTTCAGCGCGCGCGCGAGTTGGTCATCACCAAAGCCTTACGGGGTATCCGTACACCATTTCTGATGGCGGCAGGCCTTGGATCCGAGGCTCCTCCGCTCTTAATCCGTGATCCGAAAACCTCTAATTCCATCTGCATTCTACCTTACCAAGCTTACCTTGCAGCTAGGTTGCTCTCCCCGAAGACCAGGATCTAGCAGCTCACTCCGTAGGCTAGCAAACAAGTGCCGTTCTGTCATGGCGTAACGACTTTTGGTATCCATAGCTTATCGATGGGCATGGAAGGGATTGCCCGTGTATTTGGTAAGGCTTATGATAGCTTGAGCTGGGGTTGTTAAGCACTTATTCAGCACCCACACCAACACTTTTTGTCACTTTCTCTCTCCGGCCCGCCCTGACCGTTTGCGAACTGCTGGCCGTGGTCTCCCCGGCTGTCACCACCTTACGTAGGTAGTATTGGATGCTGTGCAGATGAAGCAAGGTATGGTGGTAAGGTAGCTTGACAGGGCTCGGATGGGATAACGTACGTACCTGGGTTACCTTACTACTGTCTACGGATGGTCGTTTGGGTGTTCTTCGGGACTATCACCCCCCAACGCCAAAACAAACCATGATCTTGAAGAGCCCGTCGCATTCCATCTCACCCGCACCCGTTTGATGCTTAATCGGTTCTCCCGTCCGTTGACCGAACCTACGATGCCGTCGTCAAACTCGCGAACTGAACTCATCTCAAGGTACCTACTAGCAAGCAGCTTGGAAGATGAGTGAAGCAAGGTACTTGTCAAATGATACCTACGGGCAACAGAAAGGACATGAACCCCTCCCCTGCCCCTCAGTGGAGCACAGACCCGCAGGGAGGGGCAGACACCAGCGGTACGTACAACTCTACCTTAGCTCCCCACCTCCTGCAAAAGCTCCAGGTACCTCACCACCACATCTCCTCCACCACTTCCAACTGCGTCCGTCGTCTTGCTGACTTCACCTTACATGAGTAGCCATGGCAGCATATCTCTCGTGTACGGATAGTCTCAATGGCTCTACTGTAGCTAATTCCCACTAGGCCGAAGAGCCTGATGAAACCGCATCCTAAGGGTACCCGACTGGCCTAGCCCAGCCCCATTCTGCATTCTCCTCTCTCTTCCCTCGTCCGACTCCCATCAAGTCTTTCCAGTGGCTTTGCCCAGCCTAGCGTGCCATTGATGATGCAAGACGCCCGTCTCGTTCCCCTCTCTTTCCCATCTTTGCTTGTCACCTTGTCTCTGTCTCGTATGCTCGGCGGGGGTTGCGCGCGCCTGTTCATGTTGGTATAAGACCACGACCTCCCCCTCTAGTTGTCTCAATATCTACACCCAGCATCTCTCTATTGAGCACCAATTCACTCTTCCTTTCCCTTATCTCCATACAAGACATCAATCCGTCACAATGGCTCCCAAGATTGCCATCGTCTACGTTAGTCCACTATTTCCTACAACCTAGCACTTCTTTCCTAATCGGGTAATTTCTTGTCACTTCCCCCCTTCCCCACATCACCTTACTTCACCTCACTCTCCCACCACACACACCGCAGTCTCAACCATTGAGTGCTCCAATGCCTCTGAAAATCTGCCATCACCATCTCAGAGACACAATGAAATGAACACACACACACACACACACACACACACATACATACACACATTCCCATTCCACTCGGTTGCGCGGCTTCCCCTGCCGACGCCGTTAATGACACCATGATACGGCCTGTTTGCCCGCACGAGAGCGCCCTGAACCCCACCTTACACACCTCACACCCATCGCGTCCCTATCCCAAACTCCCGAAGAATAGTCCCCCTTGACATTATAGCCGTCCTGCTAACACCACGATCTTCCAGTACTCCATGTACGGCCACATCCGCCAATTGGCCGAGGCCGAGAAGAAGGGCATCGAGAAGGCCGGCGGCACCGCCGACCTCTTCCAGTACGTCTCCCCCACCCATACCTCACCCTCACGACACACCTTGCCCGTACACACATAAACGCCAGCATGCCATGACTAACACACAACAGAGTCGCAGAGACCCTCCCCGAAGAGGTCCTCACCAAAATGGGCGCCCCCCCAAAAGCAACAGACGTCCCCGTCCTAGACGACCCCGCCACCCTCGAATCCTACGACGCCTTCCTCCTCGGCATCCCAACCCGCTACGGCAACTTCCCCGCCCAGTGGAAGGCCTTCTGGGACAAGTCCGGAAAGCAGTGGTCCACGGGAGGCTACTGGGGCAAGCTCGCCGGCCTCTTCATCTCCACCGCCTCCCTCGGCGGAGGTCAGGAGTCCACCGCCATCGCCGCCATGTCGACGTTCGCCCACCACGGCATCATCTACGTTCCGTTCGGGTACGCCAAGGCCTTCCCGCTCATGGCGGACTTGTCCGAGGTCCACGGTGGTGGCCCCTGGGGCGCGGGTACTTTCGCGGGCGCTGATGGATCGCGCCAGCCTTCGGCGAAGGAGCTGGAGATTGCTACGATCCAGGGCGAGGCATTTTACCACACTGTCGCCAAGCACGTCGGTTGACTGCATGGCAGCGAGAGCGGTGGCGCTACCGCCGTCGCGAATGGGGTGAACGGGTCCGAGAAGCCGGCGGCGGCGAAGGCGGACCCCGCGGTTCCGGCAGCAAAGGAGCCGGCCCCGGCGACGGAGACCCGAAAGGCCCCTCAGGAGTTGGACGACAAGGATGTCAAGGCCGGACCGTGCGGTCTGCCCAGCAAATGTGTCGTGCAATAAAAGGACGGGGTTGTTTTTGCCATTATGCCGTGGGAAATTTACAAAAGAAAAAAAGATAATAATAATACCTCACTTACTATTGATATATTTCAAAGTTATTCTATGGAGTGACATGACTGCCTCGCTAAGCCCTAGTGAACACATCTTGACCAACCCTTAGTATGTATGCGACGGTAGCGGATGAACCCTTCCAACCATGCCTACTAAAATGGAGTGATTCGATGGACAACCGGGGAGCTCCCCATACTAAGAAAATTGACTTCTGGTTCATGTTAAACTTACTGTCGTTCGCCGTAGAGCGATACAGGATAGAATACTTAAAGGTCTGGGCTCAAGGGGAATTAGTGACAAACCATCTTGCAGACCACCCATCCATTCGTACACTTTTCAATCCCTCAGGTAATTTGGGGGTGTAAAAATGCCCGATTGACAAGCTGCAACAGTACACTCTCGTGAAGACCAGACGTTCGCGATAAGATTTGGCCAGACCCCTGAAAACCCCTCCACAATGTTTACTGCTCTGCGATTCGTTGGCTACATCTGCAATATGAATTTCACCGAGCCACCTCTCCAGCTGGCGAGGGATTGAGGTCACAATCTCGGCGGACCAGCGCGTCTTGGCATCCCTGTCAGAAGAGGATTGACCATGGGACACTCGCAGATCTGCTGTGATACCACGAATCTTCAATCCATCTAGCTCTACTATGATTGGCAGAGCGATTGTAGGGCATCGTACGATTTCACTGATAGCACAGACATGCAAGACTCAACCACTTATTGAAACGAGTTTCCCATGTTGACCGATCTACTGTAAATAACGCCAGTGACCATGCACATTTTAGCACCGTGCAGTACGCTCCCTATCAAGCCAGCAATAACAAAGTAATGTTTACATAGCCCACTTAGTGTCTGCCACCAAAGACAACGTTCTTGCTGTCGTGGACGTTGATCATGGTGTACTCGGCAAGGAGCGGGTCCTTGTTGCCCAAGTTCAGGGTGACGGCGAGCAGGTTGGGCTCGGTCCAGGTAGGGCGGAGACCACGGGACTCAAGACGCTCCCACCAGTCGAGGAAGTTAGAAGCAGTCATGCCGTTGAAGAAGTGAATCTCAATCATGAGCTGGCCGACAGGGAGCTCCTCGCCGGCGCGGATGGGGAAGTCCTCGCCGAAACCGTCCATGGCCTCGAACTCGGCAAACTCGATGTCCATCTTCAAGATGTCACTGGTGTGGTATTAGTTCATGATCGTTATTACTTCAGCGTGAATGGAACGTACATGTACTCGTGGCCGTTCATCTTCATCAGGTCGGCAATGCTGTAGAAGGGGGGCGTCTTGGTCTTATCCGTCTTGCCAGAGATACCGGCCTGGAGGAAGTGGGCTCTGGCACGGTTGCCGGGCTCGAGTTGCTCACCAAAGTCGACGACGGAGAAATCGTAGGCCCAGACAACACAGTTGGTGCGGCTCAGCATCTCGTTCTCTGGAGGTGCGTCATCAGTGATTGTTCAAACAAAGAGGGAAATAGGTATTTGCCATATTGCATGCAAGGGACCCTTACCGAAGCTGGACTCATCACGGACACCAAAGGAGTAGATGACACACTCGCGGTCTCTGGGGAAGTTGACATATCTCGACATGCCGCACACCCACTTGCCGCCGTCTCCCATACGTCCGACGCGCTCCATTTCGTGAGGGCAGCTGTACGAGGCCGGGGCAAAGTCCCAGACGGAGTAAGGGTGCTTTCCGTAGGCCGCGGGGTCGGTGGCAGGGAACCTGACGGGAATATTGGTTAGCCATGTGATCTACGACTGTGTCGGCATCGAATCCTCATCTAGTGGATATGGGGAGTGCGGCGGCGGCGAAATGGAGGTGGCTTACAAAGGCATCAACGAGGCATCACCGTAGTCCTCAGCAATCATGTCGTGACGCTGCTTGACAGTCTTGGCCCAAATGGACTCGGCAGTGGCCATGAACTCCTTCATGGTGTTGCGACCGCCATCGTTGTTCACGAGGGCGCCGACCTTGTTGCTGGCCCATTCCTTGGCCTTGTCAGGGCTACCAAGGGAGTGCAGCAGAGCGAGGGTGAAGAGCAGACCGGCGGCGAGCCATAGCATCTGCACCATGCGCTTGGAGCCTGCAGCGAGGGCCATGGTTGCTATCAGGAGGTTCTTTTGTGACTGGGGTTTTCTGGAGATTTGCTGGAAATCCGAGTATATAAGTCGATTCGCGGAGGCTCAGCTGTCACTCTGGCGGAAAAGGACAGAATCGACACGTAATCGAGGGGTACAGTATCGATGAAGGCACAACGATGGGCGTCACGGAGAAAGTGAATGAGAAGGACAAGAACCGCAATCAGCGCTGGTCAGCAGCCGGCGCGGGGAGAAGGGCAAGCCACGGGCGGACGAAGTGGACTTGCGCAGATCTCTCGAATAGTGCCAAGAGAGCGACTGGAAGAAGAAGAGTGAGGAGGCCAAGGAGATAAAGGGAAAGGAGACGAGTCACGCCAAGGATGGATGAAAACGTCAGGACGAGGACGAGGCGAGAGAAGGAAAAAGAGGAAGCTTGTAGACGACTACTTAAGGTTCCTTGGACTGGGCAGTCGTCAGTCGTCGTGTGATGGGGACAGAGGGACCGGAGCATTGTGTGAATGGAAGGGGAGGGGTGGCGGCCAGGTTCCTCCCTCCAGACTTCCAGACCCTTGCGGATCTCGAGATCCAAAGGCGGAAGGAAGGCGAGACCAGGAAGTCACCAAGGTACGAGACTGAACTTGCACTTGCCCGCACTGCGTGACTGCCACGCCTGCCCTGAGTGACTTCCCGTGATGATCCAGCACGTTGAGTGTGGCATTCTCGGGGCAGGAACGGGCAGGAACGGGCAGGGAGCCAAGGCGTGTGTCTCTGCCTCCCTTCCTTGCGACTTGCGAGGGGTTTGGGTCCATACCTGGGAGAGGGAAGGAACTACATTGTTCGCTCATTCCTTGGGTGCCATTGGAAGGAACTCTGAAATGTGGAAGAGATGGATGGCACTTGAGAAGGTACCTCAGGAACAGGCTAGAAAAGATGGCAAGTGCCACAGGTAAACGCCTCCCAAGAAGCCAAAGTGCATCTTGTTGGCTTGTAGGTACGGGGTACCTTTTCTCGCCTTGTATCTGTGGAGGCACTGGAGGGCATACTTCTTGCTGTGTCCGAGATAGATTTAGTACTGCACCGAAACATGTCGTGTTTGGCGTCGAGAGTGGGGATACCCAGCCAAGCCCAGAGTATCCAACTGATTGACTAGCCTCAAAATGGCCGATGCACTTGGGAAGGAGGCATCTTATTCTTGGCTGCTACCATTCGAAGGGCCAAGGGCAGGTGCCGACTGGCAGCTGCATGGATGGGAAAGTGCCGTTCTGTCGGGTGCACGTGACGCAGTTCGGTCAATTGAGGGACTCCGACTGCATTTAGAGTTCAACAGCTGGGACGGGCAAGCACGAAGGCAGCATAGAACAGTGGAGGTTGATGTGCGGGATACCGGGGAACAGGAGAAGGTGGGCGATCAATTGTCATCCAATACTCCGCATCGAAGTATCAGGCGCTTCCTTTCTTTCTTTCCCCTTAGGTGCGAAGTTAAGGTAGTAAGGATATCTGCCTCAACCTCCAAAGTGTCCTCTTCTGTAGTCGCAAAGCGGAACCGACGAGAAAATGCATTTTTATTCTCCTGCATTAGAATGGCATTCAGGTCCGACGGTGGCGTCCAATAAAGCCTCGCTATTGCTCGTGATACAATCGTGTCAGATTGTCCAGTCCTGTCGGTCCTCCTCAAGACACCTTTTACCCCTAATTCAAAGGGAAGCTAACTTTGGCTAACGACCAACAGCTGAAAAATGTCGAGACGCGCTAACTTGATAACCTTCATTCCCGCCCTCCCGCGCCGTCTGTTCCACTGCTCGCTCCCACCAACTTTTCACCATGTGGCGCTCTTATCCTGGGTATCATTGCTTTTTCGAATGTCCTTCTCCACCTCTGCCTCCTCTTCGATCAACACCACCAGCAGTTCGCAGCCCTAGCTTCCAGCAGCCCTTCTAAGTTCCGAGTATCGACAGCAGCAATGGCGAATGCCCCTACTCCGTATACGAGATCCTTGCAGCCACGCGCGTCCCCTCTGCCGTCTTCACACACTAGATAGACAGACTCTTGGCTCGGCTCTGCTTTCTCAATTGACGGGGAACGATATCACCAGATGAGGTCCACTTCTGGATTGTGTCTTCATTTCCCTTTTCCCTTTGTACAATCACACCAACTTCAACCCCCCCTCTTGAAGAGATTTGTCTGCGAGCCGAAAAACGGGTTGGGCTGATACGACGACCGGTAGTTGCCCATCTCTGTGCTGTCGCCCATCTTTCCGTCTGAAAAGTCGCAGGGCGCTACTTTGATATCGCCGCGCATGATTTCCACCATGGACACAAGGGGGAACAGCAGCACGAGGAGCGACAGCAGCTGACCGAAACCCCAACCTCTCTCGCCCTGGTCGCTCAGCTCGTACGAAGGGCCATTGCCAAAGGCATCAGAAGCAATGATGCATCGAACCGCGGCGCCAACAGCCGACGCTGCCATAAGAAGGATGCCGATAATTTTGATAATGTTGATGAACTTTTGCGTCCGCAGGTGGAGGTACCAGCTTGCCAGAGCAAAGACGAGAGCGTTCGCGATGATGACAACAACGGTGCCGACGTAGCTGATCCCTTGTTGGTTTCCTTTTCCCTCGTCGCCGACCACCCACACGCAAGCAACGGGCAACTTGGATTCCTGCATACCCTTTGATACGCCTTGCAGGATGAAGACGCCATACACGACGTTCAGCGTTAGATTGACAAACATGAGGAATTGGCGGAGCCATCGCAACACCCAATCTCGGCGGAAATCGTGGACCAGAGCGAGAAGTGTCGCGTTGTGGACGGCCATGGAGAGATTTGAGAGCATCCAAATGATGAAGAAGTGATAGGGGACCATGACGTTGATCCTGGCGAGCCCGACGCACGCGATTCCGATGCCCTGGAGGATCTGCTGATCTGAATAACTGTTGAGAAGTTTCCGACGAATGTTTGACGGGTTTCCCTTCATCTCTTGGAAGATGATGGAGGAACTAATGATAAGAGCGAGACCGGCTGTGATGATGAAGGAGAGGAGCACGCCTCGGCCGGCCACGCCGGCATCGCTGGCGACCGGTGCATTCTCCGCGACGGTGCAATTCGGACTGTCAAAGACGGACATTTCGGTGGTGAAATCGAAGAAGTTCGTCGGAGCTGTCGTCTTTTTCGAAAAGAGATGCAGGGTCGAGCAATACTGTTGTTAAGGGGTAGACTGGAGGGGAGTCTCGAGGGATAAGGCTGAACGAGTGAAGCCGCCACGCGAATATCGGCTGTAGTCACTATCGACTGGCCAGTCGGTCAAGATGGCGATTTGATCTGCTTCGACAGTTGGACTCGAACCAAGGTCAAACTTTGCAGATCAGATCCTAATGGGAAAGTCTGACTGCATATATGCGCAGGATGAGCCAGGAACTTCGCCCTCCTCCTATTTTTCCCCTTCTCTTCTCCCAATGGAAATGACGTACGACTAAGCGCTGCCCCTGTCGTCTGAAACGGCCCTCCGCTGGGGAAGACCCTTGAAGCCGATGGACAAGTGGCTCTCAGCGTCCGCCGTCATCTTGTGGGCAGCGTTGGTCGCTGTGGCTGTGCCCCACCATTCGACCCCCGGCCCCGGGAGAGAGGGCGCCAACGCCCTGCAGATCGCCCCGCGATCCTCGGCTGCCACCCGCTGCATCTCCCTTGGAGGTGAGCTCGTACATACTGCTGCGTATCGCACTAATTTATCTACACGGTTGTGGCAGTGTATCTATTGACTATATGATTCCGTACGCTCAAAATTGAAAATAGGCGAGCACTCAAGCAAGTGATTCTGCTTTGTAGAACTCAATATATCCGGAGTTGATGATCAGACGCTTCCACTAAGCCAAAGGCCCGTGGTGAAAGCCATGTGCTCATTGGCCAAAAATCACAGATAGGTGGAGATATATCCTGGGTACGGAGTAATAAACCCCGTTTGCTAAGACTCAAACTACTGCGTACCTACGGTAAGGAACTTCAGGCACTGACTCCATTGTCGCTCATCACTACCCACCGCGAATGAGGGAATTGCTTTTCGATGAGGATCATTGAGACCAGAGGAGGCCTTCTATGGCGTACAGTCACCCTCTTACGGCGTTGAAGATGTACGATAGAGGAGTATGTCCCATCGCTGCCTGAGGGTTCCGCAGCAAGGTGCGAGTCTCTGGGGATACGTCGAACGCTGGAGGTTGAGGCGGGGATAGGGAGGGAGGAAAAGTTAGTGTTGACGATATGAATAGTGAGTTCTCATTTGGTTGATACATGATTTCCTTCTTTGGTATCTGCAGTCTTCGACAGTTGGTTTCGTAGAAGTAAGCTGGGTTAAGTTAGACCTACCTTAGTATAGAAACATCGCTCCTCCCCCC